TCAGACCGAGTGCCAGTGTATTAAGTTTCGGTGATGCTCAGACGAGTGCCAGTGTGTTAGGTTTCGGTTATGATCAGACTGAGTCCCAATGTTAGGTTTCGGTGATGATCAGACCGAGTTGGCCCAGTGTGTTAGGTTTCGGTGATGATCAGACCGAGTGCCAGTGTATTAGGTTTCGGTGATGATCAGACCGAGTCCCAGTGTATAAGGTTTCGGTGATGATCACACCGAGTTCCAGTGTGTTAGGTTTCGGTGATGATCAGACCGAGTGCCAGTGTATCAGGTTTCGGTGATGATCAGACCGAGTGCCAGTGTATAAGGTTTCGGTGATGATCAGACCGAGTGCCAGTGTGTTAGGTTTCGGTGATGATCAGACCGAGTGCCAGTGTATTAGGTTTCGGTGATGATCAGACCGAGTGCCAGTGTGTTATGTTTCGGTGATGATCAGACCGAGTGCCAGTGTGTTAGGTTTCGGTGATGATCAGAAGAACTTCACAGCGTTGAATTTCTTTGTTCTAATATGATAAATAAAGGGCATAGTTCATACCCAAAATAAGGCCAAAATTAATGGTATGTTTCAAGTTTCCAGCCAACAAATATTGACATTGAAGATATAGGTTATAGATAGGTAAACTCACAACTTGTTTTCTTTATCTCCGCAAAACATGTACTGTTTGATGATATTTACTTCAGACAAGAACAAATGAATTAAGGGACCCTAGAAACGCACATTTTGTTGTGTTTAGATCTAAATTCTAAATATGGTACACGGGAAATTTTGAATGAACCACGGACTTGTGTGAATAAAAAGAGCTGTCAATATTTAGGTTATCTCACATCTGTATTGTTTGTTTACACAGATCTAGGGAAACAACAGCGGTACACTGCCTTTGTCGGGGGTGTTCAGGATATAAAAAAGCTATAGAACTGCACGTGGAGGGAGTGAAAGAAGTTTACAATTTTTGCACAATATTTTTGTATACATGTCACGGCAACCTAGAACGGACATAAATGCTCTTGTCATAAATCAGAGACCCGTCAAAAGGGGTCAAATGATTTCCGTTAGGCCCTCCTGCACCTAATGTGGTACTTTCAACCTATATAACATACATGTGCAACAAAGTACGGTATGGACCTGGTTTCTGAATGTCTCACTCAAATTAAGATACTATATAAGCTCGTTGGATAATTTGAAATTCGTCAAACCAAGAAAATTGATTTTCACCCTTCCAGCTAGACCATATTACTACAATAATCCTGTATGTACCATCATATCAGTTAAAGGCATTTAAACTTGACTATAATATCAGCTTAAAAATATATCGACGTAAACAAGAGCTACACCACTACATGAGATAATTAATAACAGTACATCTAAATAAGAGAACAAACATAATCTCTATCAACAGTTAATATCTAGTTTATTACCAGTCACATACAACCACATATAATGTCAAGTTACACATGTAATGGACCATGACACACATGTAATGGATCATGTCACACATGTAATGGACCATGACACACATGTAATGGATCATGTCACACATGTAATGGATCATGTCAAACATGTAATGGATCATGTCACACATGTTATGTTTCATGTCATACATGTTATTTATCATGACACACATGTAATGGACCATGACACACATGTAATGGATCATGTCACACATGTAATGGATCATGTCAAACATGTAATGGATCATGTCACACATGTTATGTTTCATGTCATACATGTTATTTATCATGACACACATGTAATGGACCATGACACACATGTAATGGATCATGTCACACATGTAATGGATCATGTCACACATGTTATGGATCATGTCACACATGTTATGTTTCATGTCATACATGTTATTTATCATGACACACATGTAATGGACCATGACACACATGTAATGGATCATGTCACACATGTAATGGATCATGTCACACATGTTATGGATCATGTCACACATGTTATTTATCATGACCCACATGTAATGGATCATGTCACACATGTAATGGACCATGACACACATGTAATGGATCATGTCACACATGTAATGGATCATGTCAAACATGTAATGGATCATGTCACACATGTTATGTTTCATGTCATACATGTTATTTATCATGACACACATGTAATGGACCATGACACACATGTAATGGATCATGTCACACATGTAATGGATCATGTCACACATGTTATGGATCATGTCACACATGTTATTTATCATGACCCACATGTAATGGATCATGTCACACATGTAATGGATCATGTCAAACATGTAATGGATCATGTCACACATGTTATGTTTCATGTCACACATGTTATGGATCATGTCACACATGTTATTTATCATGACCCACATGTAATGGATCATGTCACACATGTAATGGACCATGACACACATGTAATGGATCATGTCACACATGTAATGGATCATGTCAAACATGTAATGGATCATGTCACACATGTTATGTTTCATGTCACACATGTTATTTATCATGACACACATGTAATGGACCATGTCACACATGTAATGGACCATGTCACACATGTAATGGATCATGTCACACATGTAATGGATCATGTCACACATGTTATGGATCATGTCACACATATAATGGATCATGTCAAACATGTAATGGATCATGTCATACATGTTATGGATCATGTCACACATGTAATGGATCATGTCATACATGTTATGGATCATGTCACACAAGCNCATGTCACACATGTAATGGATCATGTCACACATTTAATGGATTATGTCAGACATTTAATGGATCATGTCACACATTTAATGGATCATGTCAAACATGTAATGTATCATCACGCACGTTATTGATCATGTCACACATTTAATGGATCATGTCACACATTTAATGGATCATGTCACACATTTAATGGATCATGTCACACATGTAATGTATCATATCATGCACATTATTGATCATGTCACATTTAATGGATCATGTCATACATGTAATGGATCATGTCAAACATGTAATGGATCATGTCACACATGAAGTGTACATGTAACTAATGTATAATTGATTTCGTCACACTTGTATATTGGGAATGTCTTCAGTAAAACTCATTTCCCAACATTATAGTCACAATGTAATACTGAATTTCATGAGCTAAAAAAACAAAAAAAAAGCAATAATGTTTTTTTTCTTTTCTTCAAAACTGAGTCTCTTGGCTGTGAATTAGTGATGGCAGAAACAATCAAAGTAAGGCAGTACTAAATTTAAATTTCAGGATCGGGCTATTGTCTGTGTGGTCATCAACAATCAATTTCAGATGTGTCACGGTCGTATCAACGGAAATTAAAAATTTGCAGACAGAATATCCTAGCTTTACAGAGACAAAATATTTCGATTGATCAAATCAAAAGCCTTGTTACATCTGAAATGTATTAGAATATTGCTCAGCATTCAAATGTGTTGCTTAAAAAAAGTTGAAATGACTGAATATTTTTCTTTTTCTTTTTTCAATTCCTTGCAATATATGAGGAAATTGTAAACGGTTACATAAAGAACATACAAATGCATACTTAGTACATGTTTTTTTTCTTTATTATCTTATTATTATAATCACATCTTACATGTTCTGGTGTTCTAAAGGATCACCAACACATAATGTCATTAAAATCACAATCACAAAATTTCTTTTTACAATTGCATTGACAAAATTACAATTTAAATTATTTTTCATTAATTTGTCATAAAGCAAATTATCATACATTAAAACAATCTAGTCCTAGGCTTTAAATCCTCAGCAATTACATAAAATCAAACTTCAATCGCCCAAAAGCTCTGATCAAAATTCTAAAAACAAAATTAGAGACACAGAATCAACATTATATATTTTAAATTAAACATTCATTTACTTAACAACAATCAAAGCAATTATATTTCTCCACTCTTAATTCACTACACAACCACCAAACACAACAACAGTTAGAAGCATTCTCTCATTTACATCTCTCTCTGCTATGTGGATAAAGGGGAGACCACTACCAGTGATTTCTGCTATGTGGATAAAGGGGAAACCACTACCAGTGATTTCTGCTATGTGGGTAAAGGGGAGACCACTACAAGTGATTTCTGCTATGTGGATGAAGGGGAGACTACTACCAGTGATTTCTGCTATGTGGATAAAGGGGAGACCACTACAAGCGATTTCTGCTATGTGGATAAAGGGGAGACCACTACCAGTGATTTCTGCTATGTGGATAAAGGGGAGACCACTACCAGTGATTTCTGCTATGTGGATAAAGGGGAGACCACTACCAGTGATTTCTGCTATGTGGATAAAGGGGAGACCACTACCAGTGATTTCTGCTATGTGGATAAAGGGGAGACCACTACCAGTGATTTCTGCTATGTGGATAAAGGAAAGACCACTACCAGTGATTTCTGCCATGTGGATAAAGGGGAGACCACTACCAGTGATTTCTGCTATGTGGATAAAGGGGAAACCACTACCAGTGATTTCTGCTATGTGGGTAAAGGGGAGACCACTACAAGTGATTTCTGCTATGTGGATGAAGGGGAGACTACTACCAGTGATTTCTGCTATGTGGATAAAGGGGAGACCACTACAAGCGATTTCTGCTATGTGGATAAAGGGGAGACCACTACAAGCGATTTCTGCTATGTGGATAAGGGGATCCACTCAAGTTATTTGTACACAATGATGGGTTAATGAAACTGAAGTTGTACAATGTATTAAGTGATGACCTAGACCATAGAGACCAGACACATTTGTTAAAATATACTGTAGTTATTGAACATTATAATGTATATATATATACAGTGCTTATAAACATAACAATGGCAGGTTTACCCTCCTCACCTCTTTGGTTATAGCTCATTATTTGTAACAAATCAGATTTAATGAATACAAATCCAGTAAATGCTAATGTTGGGAGAATGAAGTGGTCCTACTAGCTAGCCAGTGTTTGGGAGAATGTAGTGGTCCTACTACCTAGCCAGTGTTTAGGAGAATGTCGTGGTCCTACGACCTAGCCAGTGTTTAGGAGAATGTCATGGTCCTACGACCTAGCCAGTGTTTAGGAGAATGTCATGGTCCTACGACCTAGCCGATGTTTGGGAGAATGTCGTGGTCCTACGACCTAGCCAGTATTTAGGAGAATGTCATGGTCCTACGACCTAGCCAGTGTTTAGGAGAATGTCATGGTCCTACGACCTAGCCGATGTTTGGGAGAATGTCGTGGTCCTACGACCTAGCCAGTGTTTAGGAGAATGTCATGGTCCTACGACCTAGCCAGTGTTTAGGAGAATGTCATGGTCCTACGACCTAGCCGATGTTTGGGAGAATGTCGTGGTCCTACGACCTAGCCAGTGTTTAGGAGAATGTCATGGTCCTACGACCTAGCCAGTGTTTAGGAGAATGTCATGGTCCTACGACCTAGCCGATGTTTGGGAGAATGTCGTGGTCCTACGACCTAGCCAGTGTTTAGGAGAATGTCATGGTCCTACGACCTAGCCGATGTTTGGGAGAATGTCATGGTCCTACTACCTAGCCAGTGTTTAGGAGAATGTTGTGGTCCTACTACCTAGCCAATGTTTGGGAGAATGTCGTGGTCCTACAACCTAGCCAGTGTTTGGGAGAATGTCGTGGTCCTACTACCTAGCCAGTGTTTAGGAGAATGTTGTGGTGCTACTACCTAGCCAGTGTTTAGGAGAATGTTGTGGTCCCACTACCTAGCCAGTGTTTGGGAGAATGTTGTGGTCCTACTACCTAGCCAGTGTTTGGGAGAATGATTTAACATTCCAAATTCCACTATTATTTACACTGTAGAAATTCAGCTTTTCCACACTCTAGTCAGTTTAAATGAAATTTAAATGATAATGGTCACTTCTAGAGTTCGTGCTAAAGGGAAACGCTCAATAAGTAGAGAGGCGAAGAATTGATCGAAAGCTGGGAGTTGCTGGTTCCATCTGCAGTTGATATTATCATTATATATATCTGGCAAATATTAAAATCTGGGTAAGAAGGAATGAGTATTTGAAATTAACAGGATACCACAAACATTTACTGTATAACAAGGATTTTTCTACTCACACCCATCACATCTCCCTCTGTTCATTTATCACCTTTAAACAAGAGGGCCAGTTAACATGGGTTTTAAAACTTTACACATGTATATATATAGTCAACAAGAACAGTTAATGTATATAGGAATAAAGACACTACTGAGCTAATATATAAAGTACAAAGAACAAATGTTTGGTGGGTGATTTGAAAGAAAAGACAATAATTGGTCAAAGCAACCATATTGATTTTTATCCCAATCTTCTTTAAATGATTTTCCAGTCATGGGAGAAGTTGGACCATGGCTAGCATTATGAAAATCAAACTTCAAGATGACAACTGTAAAGATTAATTTTCACTAATTTGCTTTTACTGAGTCTACACAGAAATAAGCCCTGTATCATAATGTGCTATTACTGAGTCTACACAGAAATAAGCCATGTATCATAATGTGATATTACTGAGTCTACACAGAAATAAGCCCCGTATCATAATGTGCTATTACTGAGTCTACACAGAAATAAGCCCACACGATCATAACATGATATTACTGAGTCTACACAGAAATAAGCCCAGTATCATAACGTGTTATTACTGAGTCTACACAGAAATAAGCCCCGTATCATAATGTGCTATTACTGAGTCTACACAGAAATAAGCCCCGTATCATAACGATACATCATGCAGCAATTTTCACAGCTTCAACAATATAGAAGTCAATATGCTAAAATTTCCACACACAAAAATTTAGACTTTTATAAATGGAATTAACTTTTATAGCAACAGGTCAAGAGCAAGAAGTGAAATACTAAACTTGGTTCAGTTATCAAAGGATAACAGGACTAAAAGAATAAAGGTTTATACCAAGTCACCACAGTAGAACTTTCGACTTTTTCACACTCCTTAATGAAAGCGAATTCATCCTGACATAATATAACTACACACACAGCATATATACAGTTATAGATTGTGAAGGGCGAAATTAACACCGAGTGAATATGGATTTAACTGGTGAAAGGCAAAAATTGGACTGGATGAAAAACCTCATTACACAGTTATAATGTTCAGTCAAGACTGCAGATGTGTCAAATACAGTAATCTCATAAGTTCAATTTCAATTTCATTTGCAGTAAGTTTTTCACCTTTTCTCACAAATGTAACTTTCTAGTGATGTTTTGTATTTCTTCGTCAAGGCCATTAACATTAAAATCAATGATTTGGAAACATCTGATTAATTCTTGGATTACAATGATTGAGATCAACAAATTATGCATATGTGAAAGTCTGTAAATAAACAACTCTGTGGTTATGGATTCAAGATCATAAATTCTAGGTTGGTTTAAGTTTACACACATTTGTTATATCAGTATTATCTACAAACACCATCTTCTTCGTTTTGGAAAGTTAACTCATTCACCCCTACATATTTAAACTGGACTTGCCGAGTCTTTGATATGGTAAGGTACAAATGTGACTTTAGGGGTGAATAGGTTTAACTTTTGTTCTGTTGGAGTAATCCAACTGAAAAGCACCATTGCCTAAAATGTAAATTTTAAAACAATGTTGTCCAGATTGAGGAATTTTAGAAAATCTGTATATATATCATATAATCAACCAGTATTTTTTGCATGGATATCCTCGACTATCTTAATTTGAGAGAATGAGAAAAACATAGTTTTGTCTATGAGTTATCACTTGGAAGTCTTCAGCTGTTCAACATCAGCCATGTACCTGGTACATGTACATATAAAATCTATGATCTTGAACCAAACACCTGGATAAAATCATGGGAGATAACTTCTTTCTATATTGTTACATCACGTGGACCACAAGTAGAAATAAGTCCTCTGCCAGGTGGGTAGGTATTGAATCAGTGGCCCTGCAAAACACAGATAAACATACCTTTATGTGTGTAGTTTTTAATATTTGCATTATTGCTCTCATTTCATTAGAAACAACGGATCATTTTTTGAATTAATTTTTATCATTTAACAGTAAATATTCTGATAAAATTTTCATTTCAAACTTTTGAATATTAAAGGTAGACAACTTTTACACCATGTATGGTGTGTGCTGTCTAGGGTATTATATCCGTTAGTGTGAGGAAGTGACTGTATAGATTACATACGTAAGATCATTCCCACCACTGGAATGTTTTCTGCCAGCATGTTCAGGGCGAAGAGGATCTTCATTCTGTGAAACAATCATTATAATACAGACAGTTACATGACGTTGTTTTGGAAATGAAGGGTCTGACCAGATGTCAGGAGTGTCTATAGAACAAGACCAAGTATTGCAAGGTAAACCCTAGTCCCCCTATTGGTAATGATTTCTGTATTTACTGAGCTGTACATCTTTCTCAGGTTCAACCTACTATAAAAAAAGTATCCTAATACAGAATTGGGCAATTGTTTTTCCAACGATTGCTATCAGAGGCCAAAATTAAGATCAGAGACTTATTATAGGCACAGTAAATTCTGTCATCTCAGGACTTACCTGCATACAAAATTTGGTTAAGAGAGGTCAAAGCATATATCTCAGCAACCTACTTTTCATACTATGCACTCCGCCATACAGAGATTTATTTGCATACCAAATCTGGTTACTCCAGGTGATAAAGAATATAGAGGATATTTAATGGTTTTCTGTTGAATATCATACATTAATTTCACTATATTGAAAATATCGGTATATTCTGCCACACCAGTGAAGATATGTAAGGAATTCAACAGCCAAACCCTAAACTTTTCTTTTTATTACATTTTTTAAATTAACATGATGCAAATATTGTTCCATCAGAAAAGTGCAGGAACTAGTAGCGTAACATTGGCCCGTCCACCCGTCTTCAAAATTTGACGGGCATATACAAATGTTTGATGAAATTATTTATATTACGGTTTTGTTAAATGTGTACCTGCTTCATCAGGTAATGATATCACATAATTGAGCTTGTATGAATTCAATGACAACAACAAAAAATATTTATCGGATGCTGTACATGATTTTCAGCTTCCTGGTATGAAATTCTGCTTACAAAATATACTTTGAGTTCTAGTCATAGAACAGTTACCAGATTAATTAGTAGAATAATATTTCTGCTTACTTTGAGTACTGGTCGTAGAACGGTGATCGGAACAAGTAGTATAATAACATGACTGTGCGTTTCTTCACTTCAGACTTCTCATGTGGATTGAGGTTTTCTGTATCACCCATCATACACAGGCTACAACACAGATAATCACAGGCTTCAACACAGATAATCACAGGCTTCAACATAGATAATCACAGACTTCAACACAGATAATCACAGGCTACAACACAGATAATCACAGGCTACAACACAGATAATCAGAGGCTACAACACAGATAATCAGAGGCTACAACACAGATAATCAGAGGCTACAACACAGATAATCACAGGCTTCAACACAGATAATCACAGGCTACAACACAGATAATCACAGGCTACAACAGATAATCACAGGCTACAACACAGATAATCACACAGGACAAACATCAGCCGGTCTCATCCTGTACAGCATTAAGTATGAAGGGAAGTAACTCCGACAGACGACAATGACTGGCGTCATGTTATCATGTTTTATCTCACCCATCAGAATAAAGGCACAATCATTACACAAGAACAGATCCAGGTTTACTAATTACATGAGGCCAGTTAGGCATGTATCCACTTAATTGTTAACTTAGACAATCAAACACAGAATTGTACCAGAACTGTTCTACATTGATCTTGACATGCTTTATATATATATATATATATATATACATATATGTGTGTACAGTCTCTGTATCTGTGTTAATCTCGTGATAATTACAGAAGTAGGAATTCAGAAATTTTATACAACAGCGAATTGTTTATGTCCACTTACTAATAGGAGTTACTTACCTTGAGATGTCTATACCTCCAGATAGGAGCCAAGGTTTCCAGGAGTTGGCTCCAAACAGGTACATAGACAGTACTGGTCTAGTTAAGGAAGTGTTAACCTGATTAAGACTTAGCAGAATTATCTACAACCTCAAATGTGGCTAGAGTAGCTTCCCTTGATCATGTATATCCATATATCTCATTGGAAAATGAATGCATTTTAAAACAGACTGTCAAAGGTCTAAAATAATTTTATCATAAATAATGGGAACCCGTAACTTTTGCAGTAACAGGTGAACAGCACGTACGTCCTATTCCATGTTTAGATGTACTCAGTCTTTTCCTCTCTTTTTTTGAGGTTTCGCCTCCAACTCCTTACTGATATATACCCTCTTCAATCATATATTAAAATATTTCCTTCTGGGTTTCAACCCAATGTTGAGGTATCATTTTGAGCCTAGGGTTTAGATACCCCCTTCAACCTCATGTTGAAAAATCCCACCCCACTCCAAGTTGGAATCTTCTCTTCTACACAATGTATGAACTGTCATTAATATCAACAAGCATACTGAGTATTGCTGAAGCAATACATGTCCCCTACCGGCCCCCGCAATCTATTAAGATGCAACAGTGACCTCAACCTAGATCCGAGGACCTTGAAACTCGAACTTGTCCAATATATTGAAATTTTTTACAATAATGTGAAGTTTGACTAAAATCCATGAAAGAATGAGGCACTAGAGTGCTGACAAAGATTTTCTAAAATAGTAATAGTGACCTTGTCTTGCCCCGATTACCTTGAAATTGTCCAAGATATTTAAATTCTTTACAATAATGTGAAGTTTGATTAAAAACTAGGAAAGAATGAAGGCGCAAGAGTGCTGACAAACTTCTTCGGACAGACAGCGAGGAAAACTTTAGGTATTCTTGTTTTCTTCTCCCTCCCTGCCACCCCCACCCAGTTTCACCGGTAAGGGAATAAAAATACTAAGAAATCTTATTTGTTGATTGTAAAGGTATCTTTACAAGTGTGTGAAGTTTGATAAACAGGCAAGGAAGAATGTTAAATAAAATTTTCTATTTATAGTAACTGTGACCTTGACCATTTGACCTTAAAACTCGAACCTGTCCAACTCAAACTTGTCGAAGATATTTTAATTCTTTATGAGTGTGTGCAGTTTGATTAAAATCCATGAAAGAATGAAGACACTAGAGTGCTGACAAAGATTTTCTATTTATAGTAACAGTGACCTTGACCTTGATCCGATGACCTTGAAACTCGAACTTGTCAAAGATATTTTAATTCTTTATGAGTGTGTGAAGTTTGATTAAAATCCAAGAAAGAATGAAGACGCTAGAGTGCTGACAAAGATTTTCTATTTATAGTAATAGTGACCTTGACCTTGATCCGATGACCTTGAAACTCGAACTTGTCGAAGATATTTTAATTCTTTATGACTGTGTGAAGTTTGATTAAAAACCAAGAAAGAATGAAGACGCTAGAGTGCTGACAAAGTTTTTCTATTTATAGTAATAGTGACCTTGACCTTGATCCGATGACCTTGAAACTCGAACTTGTTGAAGACATTTTAATTCTTTACATGTGTGTAAAGTTTGATTAAAATCCATGAAAGAATGAAGGCTCTAGAGTGCTGACAAACCTCTTCGGACAGACGGACAGACGGATGGACAGACAGACGGACGGACGGACAGACGGACGGACGGACGGACAGACGGAGGGGAAAACTATAGTCCCCTCGGTTTCACCGGTAGGGGACTAATAAGATACTGGTAGGTATATTTCAAATTAATGTTAGCAACATCATGCTGAGATATCCTTTTCGTCACTTTGTTCAGATAAAACTTCCAACACCATACGTAGACCATCTCTGTTTCCATTGGGCAGGCGCCCCTGTTCTATTACCTATACATAGCTTCTTGTTATTGGTTTATGATCCCCTAATATCCAATGAAAAGTCATTTCCGTCTGTTAATGCTGCAATATTCTTTAACATCCTTAATCTGCACTTTCCCTAGATAATTATGCAGATTTCCTTTCCTAGAGATATGACCCAATTCACTTTTCCAACAGAGAAAAACTTTATTTATTTTTCCTAGACAGATAATCCCGATTCAGTTTACTACCTATCTATCCTTCCTCCATAGTACTGTTCACTCTAACAATACTTTGCCTTTGATTTGTATTTGTTATTTTTTTTACATTTCCTATGTTAAAGTAAAATCAAACAATAAAAGTGGTCCTTGTAATTCAGTTGGAATGAACAGTAAGGTGTCCCAAATGTATTGCTGATTCCCTCGTAGTGTGGTCCCCATAATTGCCTTAAAATGCTCACAGCAAGATGTCCCCATAATTGCCTTAAGATGCTCACAGCAAGATGTCCCCATAATTGCCTTAAAATGCTCACAGAAACATGTCCCCATAATTGCCTTAAGATGCTCACTGCAAGATGTCCCCCTAATTGCCTTAAAATGCTCACAGCAAGATGTCCCCATAATTGCCTTAAAATGCCCACAGCAAGATGTCCCCATAATTGCCTTAAGATGCTCACAGCAAGATGTCCCCATAATTGCCTTAAAATGCCCACAGCAAGATGTCCCCATAATTGCCTTAAAATGCTCACAGCAAGATGTCCCCATAATTGCCTTAAAATGCCCACAGCAAGATGTCCCCATAATTGCCTTAAAATGCTCACAGCAAGATGTCCCCATAATTGCCTTAAAATGCCCACAGCAAGATGTCCCCATAATTGCCTTAAAATGCTTACAGCAAGATGTCCCCATAATTGCCTTAAAATGCCCACAGCAAGATGTCCCCATAATTGCCTTAAGATGCTCACAGCAAGATGTCCCCATAATTGCCTTAAAATGCCCACAGCAAGATGTCCCCATAATTGCCTTAAAATGCCCACAGCAATATGTCCCCATAATTTCCTTAAATGCCTACAGCAACATGTTCCCATAATTCCTTTGTTGTGCCCACAGCAATAGGATACAGTGTGCGAGGGGTCGTGTTATATAAAGGGTCTCTGCCCACATCCGCTGAGATGACAACAAAGTCGGAGAGTAGATTGCAAGTCGGCTGTTGTGGTTGTCATCCTGTAGGACTCCATGCTCTTTAGGAACCTTCCACGATCGGAAATTCATAGGTGGTGCTGCAAATTCCAAACAAAAAATCAGAAACCCATAGTCAAGCAAAGTCCAACAAAGAATTGTGAATTCATGGGTGATATTATAAATTACAACTTTGTTCATTGATTGCTCTGCAAATTAACAAGAGGCCCAGGCCCATGGGCCTTAACGGTCACCTGAGTCCTACAGTTTTTATTTTTCTTGTTGAAATATGAAGTGGAGATAATGATGTCAATCATCCCTACCAATCTGAGTAGAAACAAACTAAGTATAACATTAAGTTAAGTTTGTCAGGACCATGAGTTGATCATTCCTAGACCAAGTTCAAGTTAAATCGGCCTATTAGAACTTGATTTTAAGTTTGATTTTTTTTTTTTAAATGGCTGTCGTGGTGGCCATCTTTGATTTTTGATTGGCCCGAAAAAAGAAAAAAACCCACTTCAACAGGACAATGAGTCGATCATTCCTACCAAGTTTCAGTACAATCTGCCCAGTAGAACTAGACTTTAAGTTTGAAAAAGTTATTTTCAAAATAGTGGCCATGGCTACCATATTGGATTTCTGATCAACCCGAAAAATGACAACACTTTGTCAAGACCATGAGTCGATCATTCCAACCAAGTTTCAGTTCAATCAGCCCAGTAGAACTGGACTTTAATTTTGAAATAGTTTTTCAAAATGACAGCTGTGGCGGCCATACTTAATTTTTGATGGACCCGAAAAATAACAACATTTTGTCAGGACCATAAATCGATCATTCCTACCAAACTTCAGCTTTATCAGCCCAGTAGAACTTGACTTTTAAGTTTGAAATAGTTTTTGCAAATGACGGCAATGGCGCCAATATTGGATTTCTGATTGACTTGAAAAATAACAACACTTGGTCAGGGAGATGTCAGTAACATTCTCATGAAGTATCAATGAAATCCCTTTGACAGTATTTCAGCTTAAATTTAAAATGTAAAATGTTAACGGAGCTAAAGCTCAGGTGACCTAAAAAATCTTGATGAATGTTTCAAAGGGATCGAATTGATTGGAGTGGGATACTGTTATGTAAACGTCAGGCCAAAACAAAGTATATGTTGGTTTGTGCTACCGGACTGACACTATGTTTTTAGTGCCAACCTGAAAACATTTAATGAAATTCTGGGAAAAATGTTTTTCTTAATTTCAACTGACCCTATTCTTTTCCAGATTTTGTATTTCTTGATTTTGAACCTGAGAAAAGAATAGACCAATAGAAAGCAAAATGCCCGCACCTTTACTGTGTGCAATTAGTGGTTGGTAAATAAGTTTGAATCTGAGTTTTTTTCTGATAACCTCAGAAATATCTTCCTTTCATCTTTTTGGAAAAAAATACGGATCTTCTGATACTGGAAGTCACTTCTCGTAATGAGAGTAAGCCATCGAAAATGTATTTGCTTACAGGTGCTATTGCTTGATATTATCAACTTGATTGACCTTCTTGAAAACAAATATCATCCAAATTCATCTGTGTTTAAATGTATTTATAGGATATAAGTTAATAAAACAAATTGAGTTAAAGGGTTCAAACTTCCACAAAAATAACTGAATGCAAATATCCCTAGTATATGTAAAAGCAATTTGTTATCTAGTTGATATGTAGACCTGTTACTATATCACACTATCTTGTTACAAAGGGCACCACACCTCCATTAAAAAGTGTCGAAACACGAAATTGAAATGTTGGTGCACAGGATAACTTTTTCGCACTAAGGGGTATAACTCCATCAAAAAGGAAATCCCAAATTAAAATGCTGGTGCACAACTACATAAGATACCGATCATTCATGCAAAGTTTAAATGAAATCCACCTGTTAGTTAAAGAGGAGTTTTCCAGGACAGGGTNAATCCCAAATTAAAATGCTGGTGCACAACTACATAAGATACCGATCGATCACACACACACAAACACACCCTAACTTCGTTGCGGGGGTATAATTATGCACCCTATCCAGTTTTTGATATCAGGGGGAAAAAATCGAATAAAAAGACAGAATGAAATTATTTTGCCAACTGACAGATGCATCTTAGACAGTACATTAATTACCTGCTGATAATTTTCTAATCAGCCGTCCAGATCGCTTTAAGTTATAAGTTGATCCTTTAATACTCTCTGACTCTGTCTCCAGGTTTTCCTCAAATTCGTTAAGTTCCTGCAACATCAAAAATTTACATGCACATACCAGGTAGTTAAAGGCTAAGCACTTAATTTTTTTAATTTTATTTTTTATTTTTTTACCAAATAAATAGTACAAAGGTTTCTTCAAGTAACCCCTTGGACAAATGGCCGTAAGCTGCGTAGCCATGCACCCCCCACTGGATATTTCCATTATACCTCTTCAATGGCTAACTGCCCTTTTCTGGCCTGTCATGTTTAAGATTGACAGCTTCTGGGGACCTTGTCCCTGAAATCAGCCACCTTGGGGTTCACCCCTGGACTTATTTTCAATTTACCCCTCCTAATCCTCACCCCTATTCAGTTGGCCAATGCTAGGCCTATGTGGATGTTAAAATAAAGTTACAATGATAAGTCCCAGTGTTTGGCTTCCTTACCTTTGCAGTGCTTGTCTTGTACTGAGTCTGTATGAGAGCCTCTCGGTCCAGTGCTGGTAGGGGAGGTGAAGGCTGGATACCAGCCTTATTTACCCACACCAATAACAGTCGCAATATAGACCTTAAAATAAACATGTCATTTCCCTTACAAAACACAATCTTATGAATAACTCAGAACTTTTTCCTAAAGATGATGAAGGCTTTTTTTTCATTTGCAGAGATTGAACCCATTCCTTATGAACTTGGATGATTCCAAATGAACAAATAATCTGGTTTCAAACTTAATTATCAATTTTACCTATAATATTGATTTCCTGACAAAACCAAATACTGAAGAAATATTTTCACAGACTATGGACAGGACAAGATAGAGATGGGCTGGTTTCTATACATATATTTAAGGAACACATGAAGAAATGACTATCTAACATAGCCAACCTATTAATTACATATAGTTTATATTTTAAAGTGATCCTTATTTTATAATACTTTAAACTATAAACTTGTTTTTGTGAACAAAAACATATGACTCCCCTTATTAGCCAATAGACAAACTTCGGTATAAAAAATAAACAAAGGGCCATATCTCTTCATATAGTGGGGCACGAGACCCGAATTTAGAACGCGACACTCCTACTTCCCAAGATACATTAAAACTATAGCAAGTTTGGTCAACGTAGGTGAAATAACATGGAAGTTATGCTGTGGACAAACTTTGGTATTAAAAATAAACAAAGGGCCATAATTCTATATATAGAGAGGCACGAGACTCGATTTCAGTGCAAGAGATTCTGGCTTCCCTAGATACACAAATATGGTAAGTTTGGTCAACATAGGTGAAATAACATGGAACTTATGCTCCAGACAAACTTTGATATGAAAAATAAACAAAAGGCAATAACTCTGTATATAGTGGGGCACGAGACCTTATTTTAGTGCAATGTACACCTTCTGTTGGTGATGCAGGTATACTTCAAGTTTGATTAAGACATCTTTAACGGTTTAGAAGTTATGCCGTGGACAAACTAAGTTGTAAAAAATAAACAAAGGGTCATAACTCTATATATAGAGGGGAACAAGACCCAATTGTAGTGCGAGAGATTCTGCCTTCCCAAGATACATAAATATTGTAAGTTTGGTCAATGTAGGTGACATTACATTCCAGTTTTGGGGAGGGGATCTCAACCGTTTCAAAGTTATGACCCAGGGACTATGTCTCCAAGGGTGGGGCCAGACCCTAGGGCCATCCTGGAAGCAAATGTGCATACTTCTCTTCATACTCAGTAATTGTATATATGGTTATACGGTGGGGATCTCAACCATTTTCAAGTGATAAACTTATTTTGGCCCCACCCCTTAGCCGGGGGGGTCAGCCCCAAAATTTGTACAATTTTGAATCTCCACCACCTAGGGATGCTTCCAGTCAAATATGGTTGATATCCATTTCTTAGTTCCAGAGAAGAAGTCGCTTAAAGCAATATAGCCAAATTGCCCCCTTTTGGCCCCGCCCCTCAGCCCCCTGGGGGGTCAGCCCCNACGGTGGGGATCTCAACCATTTCCAAGTGATAAACTTATTTTGGCGCAACCCCTTAGCCGGGGGGGTCAGCCCCAAAATTTGTACAATTTTGAATCTCCACCACCTAGGGATGCTTCCAGTCAAATATGGTTGATATCCATCTCTTAGTTCCAGAGAAGAAGTCGCTTAAAGCAATATAGCCAAATTGCCCCCTTTTGGCCCCGCCCCTCAGCCCCCTGGGGGGTCAGCCCCAAGATTTGTACAATTTTGAATCCCCACCACCTAGGAATGCTTCCAGTCAAATATGGTTGATATCCATCTCTTAGTTCCAGAGAAGAAGTCGCTTAAAACAATATAGCCAAATTGCCCCCTTTTGGCCCCGCCCCTCAGCCCCCTTGGGGGTCAGCCCCACCATTTTTACAATTTTGAATCCCTACCACCTAGGGATGCTTCCAGTCAAATTTAGTTAAATTCCAATCAGTGGTTAAGAAGAAGAAGTCATTTAAAGAAATTGTTGACGGACGGACGACAGACGGAGGGACGCCACGGTATGGCATAAGCTCACCTTGGTCCTTTGGACCCGATAAGCTAATAATGAGGCACAAAACCAGATTTTAGTGCGAGAGATTCCGCCTTCCAAAGATACATAAATATGGTCAATTTGGTCTATGCTCCAGACAAACTTCGGTATTTAAAATAAACAAAGGGCAATAACCTTCTGTGGGTGATGCAGGTATACTTCAAGTTTGATCAAGATATCTTAAACGGTTTAAACTTTACGGGCCGGTCAAGAATTTACTGAAAATGTTGCACTTATATGACCTTTGACCTTGAGGTGAAGGTCACAGTGACCTAATTCCAGTGCACTGCACACTTTCTGTGGGTGACGTATGCATACCTCAAGTTTCATCAAGATATCTTTAACGGTCTAAAAGTTATAGCCCGGACAAGAAGAAGAAGGAAGAAGAAGAAGAAGAAGAAGAAGAGGAAGAAGAAGAAGAAGAAGAAGAACCAGTACTAATACAATATATCTCCCTTCATTTGAAGGGGAGAAATAATAATACCAACAATTCACTATTTATAAATATCACTACATAACATCAATAGACAAATACTTGACAGAATATAGATGTTTTTTTAATGTAAACAATTATTTTAATAAACAAGAGGCCCATGAGCCTTAACGGTCACCTGAGTCTACAGTATTTATTTTTGTTGTTGAAATATGTACCAATTTGAGTAAAAAATAGTATAATGTTAACTTAACTTTGTCAGGACCATGAGCTGATCATTCCTAGACCAATTTTAAGTGAGATCGGCCTATTAGAACTTAGTAGCAAAATAGCGGCCATGGCAGCCAAATTGTATTTCTGATTGACCCGAAAAATAACAACACTTTGTCAGGACCATGATTCGATCATTCCTACAAAGTTTCAGTTCAATCGGCCAAGTAGAACTTTACTTTAAGTTTGAAATAGTTTATCAAAATGGCAGCCGTGGTGGCCATATTGGATTTCTGATCGACCCGAAAAATAACAACACTTTGTCAGGACCATGAGTCAATCATTCCTACAAAGTTTCAGTTCAATCGGCCCAGCAGAACTTGACTTTAAGTTTGAAATAGGTTTTCAAAATGGCGGCCGTGGCGGCCATATTGGATTTCTGATCGACCCAAAAAATAACAACACTTTGTCAGGACCATGAGGCGATCATTCCTACCATTTTTCAGTTCAATCGGCCCAGCAGAACTTGACTTTAAGTTTGAAATGTAAAATGTTAACGGACGACGGACGACGGACGACGGACGACGATGGACGAAAACGGATAGCAATAGGTCACTTGAGCTAAAGCTCAGGTGACCTAAAAAAATAAAAATAAAAATAAAATATATTTTTCATAACTATTATTGTAATTTGTGATGCATTCTTTATCAATATATATATTATAAAAACGTCAAATATTTAAAGTATTGATAACTACTTTTAGAATTTCCAGATTTCCCCTCCCCCGTTTTAATTCCTTTATTACTTTTCCCCCACAGAATAAAGACATAAGTATATACATATCTGTCTCTCTGTTATACATCATACATGGATGCCTGCTACATTTAAGTTCCAAAATAGAAAGTTCAGTTTTTTTAGGTTATGTATTCATAGCAACTATTACAAAAAGATATTCCGTGTCCAAAGACAGTAATAGTTTGTTACTTTGTTATATGTACAGCAACGATAAGGACCCAGCGCCCAGTTTCGCTCCAATATTTGGCGGCTGACATCTCAAGGAAAACTTCTGCATACTGAAGCACTGTGAGAAACTTCTGTATTCTATCTTGTGACAATGACTGAAAATAGACACGTTATTTGTAAGGATGTGTAGCCAGTTCTTTATGTAAATATTAAGTTTTGTTTTTCCTAATGTAAAATGTTCAATAATGTAATAGACAATTTCTTCAAGATAATCTCCCGAGATCATTTGACGATTTACAGGCTGGAACCCCATTAAGTTTCATCATCTATATACTAGGCCATCATACTGATTGCTTAAGTATATACTGACATTATCTTAATACCTATTATTTTCATAACCTTACCAAAGATGGTCACAAGTTTTCAAGGTCTTAACAACAATACATGATGTTGACAAATGGTCAGAAAACTTTTCCGTGAACAAGATGTCATTAACAGTAGGCGGGAACAGAGCTAACAAAGGCTCATGCAAATCTCAGGCTGTTACTTTTATTGAACCAAACGCATATTAATATAATTTTGGAAATGAAATTTGTTTCCACTAATCAAACTAATGTAAAAAAAATCAAAAAAAAATCACAAAACATATTTTTTACTTGGGGTGATACTACATAACCAGGTATTTGTTACTTGGGGTGACACTACATCACTAGATATTTGTTACTTGGTGTGACACTACATCACTAGATATTTGTTACTTGGTGTGACACTACATCACTAGATATTTGTTACTTGGGTTGACACTACTTCACTAGATATTTGTTACTTGGTGTGACATTACTTCACTAGATATTTGTTACTTGGTGTGACAATACATCACTAGATATTTGTTACTTGGGTTGACACTACATCACTAGATATTTGTTCCTTCGGGTGACACTACTTCACTAGATATTTGTTACTTTGGTTGACACTACATCACTAGATATTTGTTACTTGGGGTGTCACTACATCACTAGATAGTTGTTACTTGGGTTGACACTACTTCAACAGATATTTGTTACTTGGAGNTGATACAAAAAACAATATTTATATTAATTGGAATTGGAATATCAAAAAAAAAGTTTAGGACAATAAAACCTTTCAGATTGCTTTGGCCCTAATACTATACTTGTTTTTATATCTAAACTCAATTTAGATTTCAGTAGCGACCCTTACTATTTACATTTATAATAGGAGGTGCTGTGACTTTATAGTTATTGTTTTGCCTCAGCAGACTCGCAGGAACTTCAATACTTAAAAAGTAATCAACATAACAGACATTAAATAAAGCATGTGAGTGGGCTGCTTCTGTCCGAGTTAAAACCTTTAAACATTCTGAATTCCAAGTCATATATATATACACGTATGCTATCATTCCAGTATTCCAACCTCATACACCAATTCATGTGATGATCATGCTTTTTTTACCATGTCCAAAAGTAATTGAATTTACTCAAAGTTCCTGTAAATTCCTCAGTGTGTAACATGTTAAAAAATATATAAATAATTTTAAATATGACTGTTTCTTGATGCTTTCAAACATTTGAGTGATGCCTTTTCAATTCACCGACAAGCTGATTTCATAAGTTCTAAAATATTCAGCAAGTGGTTCGATTCTACCAGTTTTTCATGTGGATCTATGTGAAAATAATGAACTATTCACATGCACATGTGTACCCTCACTTATCACAACACCATCTAAGACCAGTCACATACTGCTCTTGTTAACGCTTGTAATGAGGTGGAGGTTACACTGTTCATGTCATACATTATGGCGCTTTATATTTACAATGTTTATAACATGTCCAGTTTATTTTTATAAAACATTAGATTATCATGAAATGACACATTTTCGAGAACAGTGGAGGTTAAGTTGAGTGTAGCTCTCAGGGTCTTCCAGGAAGTCCTGTTTTGTCAGTCCAGGGATCTTAATGAGTTTTCTTTTGCATCAGAGTCTAATATACTTCAGCCTGCAGCATTCAGCTATGAAGTTGCATCTTGATTCAGGTTGGAAGTCGCAGAGTTTACAGGTGGAGTCAACCTCAAATTGGTTGAATCTGGCAGCAGTTTGGCTGCAGATTGTATGTTCCAGTTAGAATCCTTGCTTTTAATTCTGCTCACTGTACGTCCCTTTTCATTGGATTTGTCATTGAGTATAGATGGTGGGGTACTCAGACTTTCAGTGCACCCAGGTTTAGGTATTTCAGAGAGGGTTTCTCTTTTACCTTGTCTCTCCAGTCAAAATCTTGAATTTGAAGTTGGTATGCCTCTCAGATAATGAATCTTTCGTTGCATTCAGTTGGGTTATAACAGAGAGTAAAACATCAAAAGCGTCAATGGAGTGTTTTATTAAGGCGAAATATTTAATCTCAGACTAAACTAAATTATCTATATCATTCTGATAGTTAAAGTTCAACATATTCAATTTACCTACCTGAATACTGATGTTTAATTGGGATTTTTGATATGACACATCATCGATTATCATACCTTCTTTTACAGGGCGTGTTGGTTTTTAACAGGTAAAATCATGGAAGCTGATCTCTGAGACCAATGCATATGGGCCATAATCCGGTGGGCTATATCAGCAATTTAACAGGATATAAGAGAAGTCATGCTATATGAAATCTATTTATTTTTTTACAAATGACCAATCTAAGTGAGTGTTGAAGAATCCACGATTATCACTGCACCATATTGAGCGGAAACTATGTGATCATATTCCGCTAACGGAAAACGAAAGTTGATTTATCCAATGTAAAATGGTGGACCGCAACAAGGTGAAAAAGGCGAGCAGGTGGAGACAAAGGGACAACTTGGAAATACTGACCTGCAATAATGTAAGATATCACGCGAGAAGTTGTTTCAATCTGACTAACAGTCTCGGGATTATCGCTGATTAACTGTTTGTATCTTTTCCAGCCACTCTCCACGAAGTGTGCCATTTTGTTCCTATCGGTAAACCTCTGATTATTTGGTTGATAATGTCGAAAAAGTAGTAGAGACCCGGAAGCTTTAGGGACTTACTAAATTCACGAAAAATGTTAAACTAGCACAGCAGGATAATTTTCATAGCATAATGATAAGAAAAGGAAAATGTTATAATGCGATGTTATTGTATAAGCCAATAATATTAGAGAAATTACATATGTAGAAGAATATGTCACTGAAAAACTGTATAACTTAGGCCTACCTAATCTGGAATGGAATATCCTAACGATAGTATGAGTTATCTAGTTTCAAGCTTTTCAAAGATTCAGATTTGTTGTCATCGTGGAGGGCCCCACGTCAATATATTGACATGGCTGACTACAGGAACAATCGTAATGGTAAGCCATTCAAAGACTGCATTTTATTTTATTTAGCTTTACCTAAGACGACTAGGCCTAACTGTCAGCTGGCCGTCGTACTCATGACCATGATAGGGTTAACAACAAATCCACAGCCCCATATGTTGCTATACCCGGCCCCCTACCTAACTAACCTAGCCACCTGTGTACCGCAATTACCGGTTTGACTTTCACCTTGAACATATAACACATAGTCAACCACAAAATGAGCAGTGATTTTGAAGAATAAAGGATTGGCGTTTCCATTGATAATAGCCTGAGCTTCGCCCTGACGCCATATCTAACAGACTTAACATTAGACATTTTGACAGATAGATGTCTGGTGTGGGGCCAGAGCGCACTACTGTATGAAAACTTGGAATCCTCCCACACCATTTGGGAGTATTGAATACTGACAACAAAAATCTACTTTGACACAACACGTACATCACATATATTGGTAAATGGGTACCCATACCGACATTGGGTCAGTAGAGTCCTAGGTTTTTTATCATTCAAAATTCCCACCTGAGTGATACCTTTTTGTAGGTCATGCAAATTACACAGGAGTTACTTATCAACAAACAATTAATACTGATCCATACCGAAAATGGAATATACTATTCTTATTCAGAAGATGGCAGCCTCTTTTTGTCAAGTAACGTTAATCTTTGCTGTGTAGAGGAAACTTGAGGGATACATCAATTAGTACACACATTGGTTCATACAGCTTCTTTTCAGGAACCATCAGGCCCATCCTCGATATCGAGGGGTTATATACGCTCACTTTCGCTCTCTGCACCCCTGGAATATATCTTAGCAAAATTGAAGGCTCAGTGTGTGCCACCTTGTTGATGAGACAAGAAGACTAGTTCGATCCTTTGATATACAACAAAAGAATCTTGCGGTCACGTTATGCTAAAAATTGACAGGCTTTGAAGTCGGGCGACTCTCCTTTGAAATCTTCAAAGGAAAGGTATCAGCCTAGCGATTGGTCTTTTTTTTTTACCTGAGACCAATCAAACAGCTATCTTCGTGCCTTCAATTTTGCTATGACATATTCCAGGGGTGGAGAGAGCGTAACCCCTGGATATCGAGGATGCATAAAGGCCTAGAGGGGGCCTGTACTTGGTTTGCTGAGGACCAATTTACTATCAGCATTGTTTGAATAAATGATCTTGACTTACTCTCTAGATCATTAAGGACTCTAATATTCAAAAAGAAAAGAAAAAAATACCAGCTTGTCTTACAGAACTATAAATATTTTTAAAAGCCTATCAGAGATGGTCAGGACCTATTATGGTTTACCCTTTGTTGTATGTCAACTTATTATCTCCTTGTCATCGACCTCCTGCCTCTATTTATAGATGTATCTTGATGAAATTTGTTACAAACATTACCTACATGTAAAGTGTGACCAAATTTAGAATCATATATTAATTTTTATTTGAGTTATTGCCCTTTGTTCTTTTTATTCCCCGCTTTCACCAAAACGGGGGATATTAACTTGTCTGTCTCTGTCCGTCTGTCTGTCTGCCGCACTTTAAATTTGTTTCCATGCAATAACTACAACACATATTAACTGATATTCTTCAAATTAGGTCACAGGGTTAAATGCCTAAAGGGCTCGGCCAATTTTGATCACCACTTTGGGCGGAGCCCCTTTGGCAGAGTTATTGCCCCTTGAATAATGAAAAACGTCATTATCTGCTGCGCTTCGTTTCCGTGCTATAACTACAACAAATATTAACCGATTTTCTTCAAACTTGTTCACAGGGTTAAATGCCTTAAGGGCTCGGCCAAGTTCGATGACTACTTTTAGCGAAACCCATTTGGCAGAGTTATGGCCCCTTGAATAACGAAAAACTTATTGTGCAATAGCTACAACAAATGTTAACCGATTTTCTTCACACTTGGTTTGATTTTGATGAAAATTAGCATATAGGGATATTAGGGGACTACAAATTCAACCGCATAGGTTTCGTTGCCATAGCAACCACACAGAGGCTTCTGATTGGTGGAAATTTAGATATTGTTCGATTTTGATGAAAATTGGTATATAGGAATATTAGGAGACTGCAAATTCAACCGTATAGGTTTCGTTGCCATACAATTTAGCAACCACACAAAGGCCTCTGATTGGTGGAAATTTAGATATTGTTCGATTTTGATGAAAATTGGTACCTGGGGGAATAAGGGGACTGCGAATTCAACCGCATAGGTTTTGTTGCCATAGCAACCAAATGGATAGATGTTTTTTATTTATATTAAAAAGGATATATAGGGGTATTATGGGACTGCGAATAAAAACGCATAAGTTTAGTTACCGTAGCAATCACACGCAGGCTTCTGATTGGTCAAAAATTAGATATTGTTCGATTTTGAAGAAAATTGGTATATAGGGGTATAAGGGGACTGCGAATTTGACTGCATATGTTTCGTTGCCATAGCAACCACATGGAGGCTTCTTATTGGAAGAAATTTAGAATTTTTTCGATTTTCTTGAAACTTGGTATATAGGGGTATTAGGGGACTGCGAATTCACCATAGCAACCACACAGAGGCTTCTGATTGGGCGCAATTTAGAAATTGCTCAATTTCACTCAAATTTAGTGTGTACATTGTAGGTGTTCTATGGCAATGTGATCCTTTTCTGATGCATCTTTGCGACTATGGGGGCAGTTTGGGGGACGTCTGTAATATTGTTAAGATGTTTCAACCAAATTCCTTATGCACATCCAACTCATGATAAGTTTGCCAACCGATGTGATTTGTGCATATTTACGGATAATCAATGAGGTATAGGTTTTTTTTGGGTTTTTTTCTTCAAGTTTCAAGCAATACATTATGTCTCAACAGCAGGATACTCACATGTTTAAACCTAACCTCAATAATGTTAATCTACAATATGTCCTACAAGCGGGGGATATACATTCCACGAATTTGCTTGTTATACTAAAGTTTGTCTGAAGCATAACTTCTTGATATTTCACTTTTAATCGCTTAACTTCCTTTACTGATGTTGTTTGGGAAGGTGGAATGTCACTCACTGACTTTAGGCTTCTTGTGTAAAGTCATGACTCTTTGTTTGTCTTTGATGCTTGTCTTTGAAAGTTTGCCCACAGCAGAATAACTTCCTTGGTATTTCCCCTGCATTCATCAAACATGTAATACATATATATATATGTATCTTATGAAAGAGGAGTGTTGTTTGCTTCAATTGTGTCTTACATTGCTTTATATAGAATGGCCGTTAAGTGTTTTGAACATACATGTATTTTGGTTCATGATGTTTTAGAATATGGGCCAAGGGAGGCAATTCATATACATAGTTCATAGATAGCCAAATTGGAGCACCTTGTCTTATACTCAGTACCTTTGGCTAATGAAGTAAAGCACAGTAGGTTTTTTCATTTCAACATATTCTAGAAAAGAAAAAATCTTAAGTGATACAGTATAAATGAATTTTCATGTTAAATTTTAATATTTTAATATACTTCGTTAACAGAATCATTGTTTGACCTCAATGTATTAATAACCTCTTGTAGGGTTGGCTCGAACCGATGAGATGCTGGATGCAGAAAATCAGCAGCGAGTGGAGATGCTGTCCTCCAAAGTTTCAAGACTGAACAATGTTAGTCACACCTTTAAGATATTTACCTGAGCTGTATTTGGCATAATAGGAGTCATCTATAGTTATTTTTATAAAAGAAAAGATAACCACCCCTTCTCTGCATTTTATTAAGTACATAACACAATGTCTTATATAATAGCTCTCTGCAAATTATAGCCACATTTTACTTTTAATACAATATCTTTTGATTTTTTATGAATAATCTATGTTAAAATAACCTTCCTTTGTCAAGATGTTGTGAAGAAAATCATTTATGGATTTAGAGGAGAAAAAGGTTTTTGTTTGACGCACTTAAAAGAATTACAGGTTTTAGTAAATGATTATTTTTTTCATTGTATTCATACCAAATACTCAAATCTCATTAGTAATTTGTTTCTTTCTTAAATCAGTGAAACAAGAAGGTCACTGTGGCGAAGTACATATTAGTTCTGTACACAACATAAATGTATGTTAAACTGTTGAAACATATAGAAAATCTCAAATTATGCCCATTGTACTTGATTTTACAGATTGCTCTGGAAATACAAACTGAGACAAAAAATTCAAATCTGTACCTTGATGATATGGTGAGTCAACCTGGAAGAATGAAATATTGATTTAACAACAAAAAGATGGAATATAAACTTACAATAAGAAAACCAAAAATCTCATAATAATTTGTCAAGTTGCATCAAAATCATATAAAGAATAAATTATGAAATATCAACTAAAATTCCAAAAACTGAAATATGATCACAACCCATAAAATAGTGCATTTCATTACCATGCTTATATATATATATAAAAAAATCAACTATGTTTTATATTTTATCTGGACAAAACAACAATTTCTTACTTTCAGACGGGAGACTTTGAGTCCACACAAGGTCTTCTGGGAGGAACTGTCAACAGATTGTCTCACATGGTGTCCGCTAATAAGGGCAACCGAAAACTCATGTGTTACATTGTCCTGGCACTGGTGTTATTCTTCTTCTTCTTTTACTACCTCATAGGCAGAGTAACTGGAGGGTGATTACAACAAGCAAGGGGGTCATCTAGGGAAGGGCAGGGATATGGGTGGGGTCGTCTGGGGAGTGGTAGGGTCATTTNCGTCTGGGGAGTGGTAGGGTCATTGGGGGAGGGACTGGTTGCATTGGGGGTGGGGGGACATTTATTGGGTTCGGGATCATCTGGGCAGAGGCAGTGATTGGGATGGGGTCATCTGGGGAGGGGCAGGGTTGTCTGGTGAGGGGCAGGCAGAGGTGGTGGGTTCATCTAGGGAGGGGTAAGGAGAATGGTTGGTATCATTTTGGGAGGGGCAGGGAGAAGGAAAGGGTGGGACCATTTGGGGGAGAGGCAGGTAGTTGTTTGAGTGGTAGATTGGGTTTGGAGGCCAAATTAATTGTATCTAGATATATAAAGGTGGAGTAGGGACAAATAGGAATGATGATATTTATTTAATTGGTGTTTTTTTCAATAGATGTATATAGATGTACATTATATTTAGTTTGAGATTGTGTATGATCATATATCAGGGTGTATATTTTGGAAAGTCTTAATTTCGTTCCTCTTTAAATTAAGTTTTTAACTTTTCACATTATTCACATATGCAAAATCTGGTCAAAACAGATGTTTAAATCACGATTACTGGTACTTCATCTTTTGAAAGAGAAAATGAGATTCTGCACTTTTGAAATATAAAAACCTGATATATGCATGGTACATGTGTGTTCAAGTGAGAAAGAAGATTTTTTTGGGGGGTATTTTGTTTATGAGGAAAACAGTGCTACTTTTGCTTTGGTCCTTTTTGGTGTACATTATTGTATGCGGGATTGATACTACCTATGATATGTATGTGATTTTTCAAGGATATTAATCTGGTTTATGAGGATAATTTATCTGAGCAGGTCAAATACAACTTTCGTTTCTCAATAGATTTGTGTAGAATATATAAGGTTATGAGTGCTTATATGAGTCAAATGAAAGATCAAAGCTGGGATGATTTTTTTTTAAATCTTTATTTCCTTAGGAACAAGATCATTTATACCTTATATGCTGTATTGGATGTCCTGTATTCCTAGCATATTTAGGATAAGAGAGACAATTTTTCTTAACAATATGCTACCTAATTGGAGATGTAAATGTCCTTTTTTATGCTGAAAATCCATAACTTTCTTTGCAACATCTTAGAAATTCTTTCTTCTTCAAATGAGTATTCAACATTTTCAAAAAATTTGGTATCAAATAAAAGTAAGGTAAGGGCTTCCTCATATTGGAGAGTTATTAACTACACGTATAACTATGTCAGTGGAAAAACCTTTTAGGGAGAGGGAGGGGTAACGCAATAACAGGAAAATGATGGGAGAGATTTTGCAGGAAACTGCATTACATAGCTGAACTGCCATAAAATCCTCCTTGAAGTTCCAGAGACTGCACTCTCAGGTTCTTTATACCACTGTAATATGTCCTGATGAAATGTAAGGCTCTGTACCGGCCATCTTGTAGATGATACAAATAGACTAGTTTGATCCTGTAATGTACATCAAAAAAATACTGATGCAGCTTAATGGGAAATTTACCAGCTTTGAAGTTGGTTGTCACTCTGAAATCTTCTGAGAACAGATATAAGCCTAGTGATTGGTCAGGTTTTTATACCTTAAGCCAATTCAATGGCTAAGCATGTGCTTTTAATTTTGCGGCGACATATTCTAGGGGTGCAGAGAACGTAGGTTTCAGTGTTACCCAGGAACTTTGAGGATGCCATAAAATATGCTTAAACAAAAACATATCCAGAAAGAAATCATTAGAAACCATTGATTTAATTATAAAGCAGGTATGGATGTGCTTCCTATCTAGTGCTTGGAGTATATAATACTTTGTGTGTATGTAGGGTACCAGCTGGTATGTGTAAAGAGTTATTAATATATGTAAATATGTATTTTAGCAAGGATAAAGTTAGTTCAAAGTATAGTAAGTTGCATGAGAAGGCAGTTATGAATTAACAGCTCATTGTATACAAGGAAAACGTTTGATTTGAACGTGTATGTGTGATTGTGTGGTTGTCAAAAAAGAGGTTAAATGTATGAATCTGACCTGATACTGTAGACTGGTCAGTGAATGGATCTTTAAACCTTCTGGAAATGTCATATACTGTAGATGTATTATAAGGCCTGTAAATATCATAGGTCATCTTCTTTTGATGTCATTACATCCTTTGGAATAAATTAAAGCAAGGGTATGTAAATTTTACCACTGTGTTAAAATTACCATTGAGAGATGATATTCTTGATTTCTTGATGAATTACAGTTGTTTTTCACCAGTTGGGTGAATATCTCGCCTGTGTGTAACAAAAATTCAAAAGAATATTCAAACTACAAGTGAAAGATAAGTATGATTCATAAAGAAACCATAATCATACTATTTATTTCGTTTTTTATAATTAATATGTTGACTTCCATAAACAGATAATCTATCTCCTATATCAAAATGATGTTGAGGGGAATTGTATAGTGGAGCTGTATAGTGACCTCAAAATAAGAAAACTTTTGGGAACAAGTGACTATTCAGTTATTTATCACTTAAAACCCTGCTGTCTGATTGGTCATTTAAGTGTGTAAAATAAAAAGTATTGTCTGTCACAATAGAAAAATATTTACTTGATTTTCACAGTGAAGCCTGTTATTTCACTGTATATAATGTACTACCACCTTTTATCACCATCCTGTGTATGTGGCACTATTAACAGAAGTGTGAGTTGTGGTATTTAAAGGTCAACATCACAGTAAAATTGTAAAATTATTTTATTCAAACCAATATGAAATAAAGAAACTTACAAAATGTGAAATTTGAAATGGTTATTTATCAGGTCTTTAGGTTAATATAAGAAATCAACATCCAGTAGTATATCGAGAATACTAAACAAAGATGAACTGACTGTGATTTTTTTTTAAAAACTTTAAAAAGAAAATTTTAAAAGCTTTAAATATCCCCAGTAATCAAACTATTCAAATAGGTTTATATATTTAACACAGTGAGTATGGAAGAAGCCTTTCTCCATTGCATCTTGCCACACGATACTCTAAAGTATTTCCAGGAGATCTAGGCTTCTGTAATTTTCATGGCAGGTCTGATGGGAATTTAAACTTATTTCCCTCAGAGTATTTTGAGCATTACAAAGTTTTTCCGACAATCTGAATAATAATTAAAAAATAATAATTTGAGGTCCTTATATACCGCTTAATCACAACCTAGTTTGTAGGTTGTCCCAAGGCGGTTTACAAATTATTATTCGTGGTTATAGGGCCTTTGCAACCAGCCAATATCTTTCTCACCTCCCTGCATGGGGAGCATACAGCCGGTGCTGCCATTTCAGCACTCACAGCTAGCATTCAACAATTCTAGCACTGGCCAACCACATACTCATTTACAGCTGAGTAGACTGGAACAAGCAGAGTAAAGTATCTTGCTCAAAGATTTAACACAGTGCCGTGCCGTGACGCGAACCCGCAACCCTTCGGTCATGAGTCCGACAACCTACCACTAGACGACCATACCTCCAAACTCTGAATATATTATAGATCTACAATATCCCATTGTAAGATTGTTGTTTTAACATGTCTGGTCCACAACTACTCCTAAATTATCATCCAATTCCTGGGAAAATGGCCAACGATTGCCAGCATCTTTTATAGTAGTTTTTGGGGACCTCATTGAAAAACCTATGGAGACTTTATGGGTTATCCCAGGTAAAGGCCTATAAATTGCTATATGCTAGCTGGATTCTAATTTTAGTTTGAAAATCATTTAACAATCTGGTCAATCAATTTCCTGTTTTAAAATTCAATTTTAAACTTTGAAAAAATTGTGATATTATCTCTTTTATATGTTGTACCTAAATAAAAATGTAATAATAATAGGCATATCAAACTCATTGATGCAAATAAAACTTACAGTCACTGCCTTCTATGTACTTTAGAATTACATGCATGCTTGTCTATATTAGAAAAATCTTCAGTTTCAATCTGAAATCCTTAAAACATGGTAGGATTTACTGCAATTATATTTTGTTTTTTGTTTTTACCGGTAAATGATTGGCATATTGCTCAAATGACTATTAAGGTGGCTCCACACTTTCGCAATTAACCAGCAAAATTCGTTGAAACTTTCATATAATTGTTATGCAACTATGTCGAGTTGATTTTATGAAAATCTAAACATTCCGATAGTTTGGGGACTTTTTTGGAAAAATACCAAAAAATTGAATTTTCGTCAATTCCGTTTTTTTTTGTGTGTGGCATTGTTCGGATCAATAACAACAATAATAAAATGAAAAGAAGCATTTCTAATTAACCCTACAAATATTTTATTTATCGCAAAATGTGTAACACATGTTACACAAAGTGTTTTTTATTGAATTTGTACGGATAAAAGTGATTATCTACAAGCTAAAAGCACCCAGGACACAAAGTTCTATACATATAGAATGGGAAATTGAACAAAATATACGCAATGGCTTTATAATTAATTTATTTTACATTTTACAATCACTTTGATCCGGGTGAGAGTTATCTTCCTTGAAAAAAAATCGGANTGCAAGGCTTTCTCAAGACTCGCCTGAAAGCAGCATCAGATTACTAGGTCCGACCTTATTTAATAAACGAACAACAGTGGTCCGATCGGTTTGACCGTTTAAACGAAAACGGCCCAGCAGGTGTTACTATAATTTGCACTACGATATTGAATGCCCGATACGCAATACGGAAATGACGACACGGTGTACATGCACATTTCGATTAAGATAATTGAGTCCTAGCTGTACTTTTTCCGGAAGTATGTCACGAAAATGGACGCTGATGACGATGTGTCGAGCCACCTTAAAATAGATATGGTCTTGTTTCTTCATATTTGTATCAATATCCAGAGAGTTGGTTCTGTGAGCTGAAGGGAGGTCACTTACATAGATCTGTAGGGGAAATCAAATTTGACTTACAGAGAGTTAGAACATTGATCCCACTTTTTAAATCATTATGCAAATATAACCTATCTTGTTTAGAAACTACTTGTCTAGAAACAAGACTCCATTCTACTTCTTCTT